GTCCAACAATAATAGATATGCCTTATTATATAGGCTTATTAGGCTATTTATACCTTACTGACAGCCTTCTGCTGCCTTAAAGTATATAGGCCGTCAGAGCAAATTGCAAGCATATTGATATATATTTATAGTTTAAACCCTATATGAGGCGTTCTATAATCTTAACTGGTCATTTGCTTATTTCTTAAGTACTGTTATATTAATTATTTAATTTTAAATTTTTGATGTTTCCTAAGTCCTGGTTTTACTTTATTAATTATAAGTGTCAGAATTAGTATGCATTTTATTTTTTTAGAGCCTTAATGATCGCGCTGGATATATAAGTGCGGGGCTGATGTTGCAATGTGAGGCCAATTTTAAAAAATATAGTATAGTTATAGTATAATATACCCTGGCAGCACCATCGATGTCCAGCTTATAAGATTATAAGTGACCAGGAGAGCGGGGCGTAGATTAACGGGGTTGTCTTAGTAACAGCTAGATTAATTTAATAGGTGGTCCTCTATTGAGACACTATAAGCCCTATATTAGTAAACTAGCGCCGTGTCCTATGCTTTCTAGGATTAGGATTAATTAGTATATTCCTCTCCTACAACTACCAACAGGGCAATCAAAAATCTAAAACTAGGGACCTTAGACTCAACTCCTATAATCTAAGATGGCTAAGCTTAACTCATCTCAAATAAAATCAACTTCTATGGGTTATTTACTTGGCTAGAAAACATGTTGCAACACTAACCGATGACCTGAACCTAGGTCTTCAATAGGAACAGCTCTAAGGGATATGAGATTAAATCCCCTAGTAATATATAGGGAGACATTGGCCAGCTGCATAGTGCCTTCTTCCTAGTGATTAATGGAAATGTAGGGAGTAGTGGATCAATGAACAGCCGCCATATTATTAAAGGCCTTTAGGTATCTTATGAGGGCACAGGGTCGGCAGATAGAGGGTTTATCATGAATAGGGATATAGACCGCGAAGCTTTTCTCACCCTATATAATAGACATAACTCACTAAAGTAAGACGCTCTTATTGTTGAACTGCAATACTCTATGTATTTTCTTTAGGGACGTGTCGGTCCAAATTTGACATATAGACATATGCCACTAAATTATGCTTTTTAATAGTCTTTTATTTCTCTAAGTTACAACAGCTCTGTAGGCTAAAATCACTCATAGCGGATTTATGTTATACTAACTGGTTAAGTCGCCCACTTTATATCACTGCCCCCTGATACCTAGAGATGCGCCTAAAGGTTGGGACTTATAGTCTATAAGTTTAGTTTAGTCTAGCTAATACTTTAGTATAGTCATTTTATTCTTATCTAAATATAGTCCCTATAGAAAGCGCAAATATCACTGGGAACACTTTTATTCTGACCTATCATTTTCTAATAATATATATTAGAACACTTTGCCCTTAAGGCATTAAAAGCCTCCACTATATATTTATGAGGCTTTTAAAAGACTGGAGGAAGATATAAATCCTACTCCTATTTAGAGACATAAAGCTCCTAAATATTCCCGCCCCTCTTTATGATCACAGACTTAGGAGATTTTTGGCTAATCTGATGAATGACAGAAGAAAGAGCCTTTTTATCTTTTATAACTAGTATTAAATATAGTAAATAATACTTTTGCTTGGTTTAAAGGGACATTATATAATATAGTATCTATATTCTATTTATAAAGCTATTAGTAACTAAAACAGATTAACAGAAGGTGAATAAACCCAATTGTTATTTTTAAGTAAATAGATAAAAGAGGTATAGACATATACACTAAAGCTTAGGGATCTCAATAATAATTATAGTACTTAAAAAAGTAGAGGGATAGACAGGTTTTTATATCTTAATCTTTTTAAAAAGCCTAGGCTGAGCTTGGCTGAACCACTACTAGCAAACCCCTATAACTATGGAAGATCTAACCTTGGCGTTTATATAAAGTAATGAGCTCTATATAGCTAACTTAAAGCTACTGGATCTAGCTAGTGAGCAGTCTATTATATACTCTAGATACACCTCCCTTAATTCTGACACTACTTACTTATTACTTCTTAAGTAGATTTATAATAATATCTATGATTTCCTCCTCCTATAGCCTCATCTCATAATCAACTAGCTCATTGCCCTGAATTATGTCACTAAGTTTTATTAAACTTCTACCTAAGTTAGATAGACTATTTTTATTAAATGGGACTTCCTGATGTAGCTTAATAAAAGTAAGCCAGCAGTTATTAAAGCCTCTCTATATCTTTAGCCAGATTTAATAGGTATCTTTAAAATTGTATAATAATCCTAACATTATTAGCTAGTGATCTAATTGAAAATTTAAAGATATACCTAATCCTTCTCATTCTATAATTAGTTAAGTAGAAACTTATAATAGTGGGTCATAAGCTTCATCTAGCTCTCTTTTCCAAATATAATTATATATCTTTTTAAGCATATTATCTAGTTCTTTTTTAGTGTTTAAGAGCAGAATTACTGGGCCTGATAAGGTAGATATAGTGTAGTTTGGCTTACTTTTCAAGACGAAGGATTTTTATAAGAATGATATCTAACAAATAAACATTAATTTAGAGGTAGACAGGTCTGATATATATAGAAGAGGGTGATGAAGTGCCGAGCTAGGCCACACCGATTTTCAATCCTAATCATATAATACTTGACTAATAAGAAATATACTCAGCAAGCTATTACGGACCTATGGCCCTATATTTGCAACTATTAAATTGATATAGGATTTAATAAGCAGGTGATCCTCGCTTCGCTCGGCCTACTTAAAGAAGCCTAATATAGTATTAATTACTAATTCTAATTTAATATTAATTAGATGCTTAATAAGATGCTCAATTAGATGCTTAATTCTGCTGGCACAGGAATCAATGCAGGAATCAATATAGGGATCACCTAGAGAATTAATATATAACAGAGAGTAAAGAGTAAAGAGTAAAGTCAAGTAAAGGAAAGGCTATTATATTATTTGCAAAAAAAATTAACCACCATAGTGATAAGATAGATAAAAGAAATACCAAGAAAACCAGCCATGACTCTGTAGGGAATAAAGCTAAAAGCTTGCCATTACTTGCTGTTGTTCAGTGCTTATAGAGAGAGAAGGATAGACTAGAAAATAGATTATAGGCCTAGATAAATGCATTTAAGACTAATATAAGATGTAGTTATGGTTAAAGAGGGGGTGAAGCTTTCTGAGTGAAGGAATGATTTTTCCTGATGATCTAATACCATAGAGGATTACATTTATTGAGAAATAGTTGTAGAGAAAGCAAAGCCTCTATAATTAAGGGTTAGAATACAACCATAAACAAAGTACTGGTTAGGCTCATAAGTATCAGGTTAGTAAGCCTTAAATGCATACTAGGAAGCACCATAATTTCCTTGGCCAGATAAGAAAGAGTGTCCTAGTGGGCTTAAAGATCCCTCCACCCCCGCCCTTTGTTGAAATTCTTTAGATTATATTAGGTAAGGAGGGCTACATGATCTGACGCTACAAGTCTGCGAAGATTATCTAGGAATAGTGTTGTAGTTAGGAAGGGTGAATAACTAATATAGTTCTTTAGGTTCTAACAGTGAAACCGCACTGAAAGAACTTTAAGGATCTAAAGAAGCTCTACTAATGGCTTCCCTGAATTTAATAATAACTAAAGAGGTTATATAATTAAAGAAAGATCTAAGTAAAAGGAGATATATTAAGACTCTAATGAGCATTAGTAGGCATGTATAATAAATGGCTTAACTAAAGGGTACATTAATGCCTTAGGTAACCTATAAGTATTTCTAATAATAGTTAAAGGAGGGGGGGCTTACTATTTCTTAAGCCTATTAGTGGCTGAATTTGCCTCTTTGGTGATAGATCTCTTTAGTAAGGATATTCTGATGTTCGCGTAGAGATACTATATATTTAGAGTCATACCTAAGTGCAGAATGTACGCAGTTAATAAATTTAATATTATATAACTAAGAAGTAATAATTATATTTAGCAATGCATAATTTGTAGGAGTAGGAGTTTTAAAGAGAGGCTGTTGAGGAGGTAACTAAAGGTGAAAAAGAAGAAAACCCTTAATAAGTGTAATACTTAAGGTGTCATTCTTCTGATAGATATCCTTTATCTTATGGGTCCAGTTAGGGGTTTTAGAGATCTATAAATGTTGCATTTTAATCTTTAATTAATCACCAAAAAAACTATCTCTGTTGTCCTTTCTTAGTGCTTTTAGGAGGAAACACATTATGACCATAATCATGAGGGATTAAGAAATAATATATTCTAAGAAGAAGGGCTCTATATAGTTAATAGATGATTAAGTAGGTAGTCTAGCAAAGTGAGGAAATCATAATAGATTATTTATAAATAATATCATATACAGAGTACTTTATCATAGCTATAATGGATGTTACCTTTAGAGGTGAAGTTATCTAACTGTGGCCACTACTTATAGATCTGTTCTAGCGCTCTATAATCCAATAGAAAAGTAGTGTTGTATTAACACCCTGTTATTGGACATTTGAGATCCACTCATCCTGACAGTCAGGATAAGTGGATCTGTTCTAGCGCTCTATAATCCAATAGGAAAGTAGTGTTGTATTAACACCCTATTATTGGACATTTGAGATCCACTCATCTTAACTGTCAGGATGAGTGGATCTGTTCTAGCGCTCTATAATCTAATAAGAAGGTTCTAACTCTAGGCCTGTGATGTATTGGATATGAGAGGTCTGGAGGTTAAACCCCACACTGCTAGGTATACCTAGGTACCTACCTAAGGTATCTACTCTGTACTGAGGTAGGTAGGTAGTTACTTGAGGTACCCAATAGGTTACTAGAATGCCGCGATAGACGCGTATGAAATTATCTTTAGTTTCCACTAGGTTAGCAGGGCGATAGATGACATAATATAACTAGGGGGCTAGAGTGACTACACTGCAGGTTCCTTAATAATAATGTATTAAGTAGTCTAGTATCCTGACGCTCGACACCTTACATGAGTGCCTTAAGTACTAAGGTAGGTTACTTTATAGAATAGTATCTTCTTCTTTAATCTTACTGATCTTGTTAACTGGTTATAATGAGCACTATTGAGGAGATTCTTAACGCTGCAAAAATTTTAACTTAAATATTATATTTATAATATAAGCTACTTTAGATTTGTGAGCCTCTTTAATCTGTTTATGATGCTTTACAAAAAGTCCTTAGTCCTCTATATTCTAGTATATATGTAATTAAAGCCTCTCCTACAATCCATGCCTCTCCTGCAATTAAACCTGTGATTGAAGCCTCTCCTATAATCCATGCCTCTCCTATAATTGAACCTGCGATTAAAGCCTCTCCTGCGATTGAACCTGTAATTGAAGCCTCTCCTACAACCCATGCCTCTCCTGTGATTGAACCTGCGATTAAAGCCTCTCCTATGATCCATGCCTCTTCTGCGATTGAGCCTGCGATTAAAGCCTCTCCTGTGATCTATGCCTCTCCTGTGATTGAACCTGCAATTAAAGCCTCTCCTATGATCCATGCCTCTCCTATGATTGAACCTGCGATTGAAGCCTCTCCTGCGATTAAACCTACAATTGAAGCCTCTCCTACAATCTATGCCTCTCCTGCGATTAAACCTACGATTGAAGCCTCTCCTGCGATCCATGCCTCTCCTGCGATTGAGCCTGCGATTGAAGCCTCTCCTGCGATCCATGCCTCTCCTATGATTGAACCTGCAATTGAAGCCTCTCCTGCGATCCATGCCTCTCCTGCGATCCATGCCTCTCCTGCGATTGAACCTGCGATTGAAGCCTCTCCTGCGATCCATGCCTCTCCTGCGATTGAACCTGCAATTGAAGCCTCTCCTACAATCCATGCCTCTCCTGCGATTGAACCTGCGATTGAAGCCTCTCCTGCGATCTATGCCTCTCCTGCGATTGAGCCTGCAATTAAAGCCTCTCCTGTGATCCATGCCTCTCCTGTGATTGAGCCTGCAATTAAAGCCTCTCCTGCGATCTATGCCTCTCCTATGATTGAGCCTGTAATTAATGCCTCTCCTGCGATCTATGCCTCTCCTGCGATTAAACCTGCAATTGAAGCCTCTCCTACAATCCATGCCTCTCCTATAATTGAACCTATGATTGAAGTCTCTCCCGCGATTGAAGCCTCTCCTATGATCAATTCCTCTACTATGATTGAACCTGTGATTGAAGCCTCACCCGCGATCAACAATATTATAGAGAAGCTAAAATCTAGTAAGAGAGTAATAATTAAGACCATTATAAATGACCTAAAGGTTGTTATAAACTTAAATAATTTGTAAAGGGAAGACCCACATGTTGCAGACCTTATTATAGCTAAATAGTCTATATTAAGTTTTAAGACAAAATTATGAGCTGTTATAAGCGCCATAAACATTATAGTTAATTACACGCTGAATAATTTAAAGTTAAAAGTTGAATGCCTGGCCTCCAATTAAAATAGCTTAACCAATCCAGAAATAACATATTAAGACTATGTATATTTAAAGTCGTGTTTTACTAACCGAAAAAAGGCTATAAATGCTCTTGATCATAGTGTTAAATATATTATGTTTATTATAATATACCTTAAGTAAGGCAAATTCTCCCATGAAATTTTCTTAAAATGTGCTTTTATCATTTTGCTATGCTTCATGTGGCGAGGTTTTATATGCTTACTTTATGATTATTATTAAAAGCTAGCTTATAAAATAAAGGCATCTAAATTCCCTAGTATTATTAGAGAGAAGGATAAGTGGTTTTAAGAGCTGTTAGATCTTAATAATAGTATGTCTCACCTCCTTTATGTACGTAGTTCTAATGTTATTAGTGCGAGTTAAAGAGATTTTTAAGGAGCATAAGAATTAAAAAAGGAAGTTAGATGATAATAATGAGCATGGTCAGAGTAAACACCCACAATTATAGCCTCTAGGGCAATATTTCTTATACTTTAATCTTAAGAGAACCTCTAAGATTACTCTACCCCCAGATGATATATTACTTTTTTATGGCTACTAATACCAGCCCTCAGGGCAACCGCCCTTTAATCACATGCTTCTTAAGGTCCCTTCTACAGACTTTAAAAATTATTTATATCTTAAACCTAAGACTACTGCATAGCCCGAAAGTTCTACGCTATATAAGTACAACTTAGATTTACTCATTGACCAGGATAGATTTTTTAATTAGTTTCTATTAATAAAAAGGTAAATAGGCTATTAACATATGTTTTTAGTACCTTTTATTAGTTTTATAGAAAGTATATCTATCTTCCCTCTTACTATGTAATCCTCTTTAATGCATTGAGGTTCTCTAGTTCATAGTTTTTTAAGATGCTGGGGTGGTGGATTTCTGTAATAAAGGTCCGGACATCCTTTCAATGGGATCAGAATCAAGCTATCCTTTGTAGGGTTCCATAGATTGGCACCTATTTTAATATAAGTGACTCAACACAAATCGACCTAGGGACTAATTAATAATAGTGAAGTATAGCTAAATAGCTGTAATACTGACTATTATGCCAGAACTTTCTAATTCTCTTCTTAATCTTTCTAGTTCCTGCGAAAGCTCTTTACTGGCGTACTCCTATCTATCGCCGTCTGTTACCCTCTCATACTGGCCATTCTTAATCAGTGTTTTTAAACATTCAAGAATATTTAAAACACTTTTAGTGTGAAAACTATCTATAAAGTATAGTTAGACTTCAGAATTCCATCATAAGCATAGTAGAGGAAAGATTTTAAAGGAGGGGTAATAGTGGGGGAGGTTTAGGCACGCCGCACGGAGCCTAAAGTCACATGATAATTAAATAATCTTACCTTATTCTATTTAACATCTTATAGTGAGGTTTAAGTCCTGAGACCTACTCTTAAGCTGATCTTATTTATATGCAAAAATCTTAAAGTAAATTAAAGTAGAATAATTCTTTATACTTTTCTTCTAAGACTTTTTTTCTCCTCTTATTTTCTGCTTGCTGCTGCCCCTTAGAACCCTACAAAAAAAAAATCCATTAAAATCAAACAAATTTGAAAATGCAAATGTGGTTCTTAATAATATTATGGAAGAAGTATGTAGAGTTTAAAGAAAGTATTTTTAACTTAAGACCTATAGCTTAAGAGCAAGATTAATATTAATCTTTATAGTAATAAATTAGTATTTAGTCTATTAATGTCCCCTATTCTTAAACCTTAAAACTTACTCTTTTTATCATGTCCTTCCTACTCACAGTGAGTCTTATAATAGTACTCTATTATATTATTATCTTTTTTGGTATTTTTTATCTAGCCCGGACTCCTTATTTAAGAATAAGAAAAAACCTTTAAGGACAGAACAAAAAGTGAGCTCTATATGTACATGTATTATATTAAATCTTGCTAAAATATAAAAGGCCATAGACTATATATATGAGGAAGTACAACAGCTAGATATATTATAGTCCTTTAACATGACTAATAATAATGACAATAATAATAAGGATAATAATGAGGATAATAATGAGGATAATAATGAGGACAATAATAAGGACAATAGTATAGCCTCTAACTAGTAAACTAATATCCCTTTAGTGATTAAAACCCTTATCACTAATTAGTACACAATTAAAGCCCTGAGGAGAATCCCCATTCCTGCACAAGTATAGATCTAGTATAGGCACTATATAAGATACCTTTTAATGTTTGCAGAAGGGCACTGGTCTTAATATTAGTTTTATTTTGGGATCTTTCTAAATATCATGCTAAAGGCACACTACTATAAATTCTATCCCCCTGCGCCTGCTCCTCCTCCTGCTCCTCCTCCTGCCGAATCTAATATAGACTAGAAAAAGATGATGAATATGGCGGATTTGGTCTTTAGATAGGATGTAGTAGATGCTAAATTAGACAATTTAATAATAACAGCAGGTTAGTGTCCTACAGTTACTGATCACTATATTTATATCTAATATATTAGTATTATAATTAGAGTTCCAGAAGCTTTAAGAGTATAGGTGCTCTATAACAACACTAAAAGAGATCTGAATTTCACTAGTGAAGGATAAGTATGACCAAGCCAGCAATAAATATTATAACTAGTATAAATATTATAGCTTTTTAAGGTCTCTTAAATATTTTTTCTTATAGTTAGACCTTTATTAAATATTAGAGGTGTCTGCCTACTTAGGCTTAGCGCTATCCTACTTGCCTTTTCTCTCTCGCCTGTGCGCATCCTAGATTACTATCACTATCACTATTATTATTATCTATCTACATATATCTCTTCCGCTTTCTCCAGGCCATCCGTTGCCTGACATTAAATGATTCAGCAATGTACCCTTCTTATTCTACTCTAGGCTATTCTCTACTTTAATATAAATAGAGAAAGCTTACATTCTGCTTATGGGGGAGCTGGGATAATTTACTTAGGGCCCTTTTCAGTAAGATTACTCAGGGAGATGAGGAATACTATTTATAAGGCCTAAAATAAAAGGCCTTCTACAGCATCAATTATAGATATATTTAAGTCTTTATTAGTAGTTAGCCATGTCTTAGTGCCTTGCTTGCTGCTTTTAGGCCACGCCCTTAACTGCGCCTTTTCTTTTTTATCTGCACGGCCGAGACCTCTCTAATTAGAGGTGGTTATTTCTAGTGTGACGGCGCAGGTATGTTGCTGTAGTTGACTAGTGTATTACTAATCTAAATTTTATTATGCTTAAGGGGAGTGATTACTGATTATTTAATACTAGAGGATAAATATATATAGTAGAAGTAATAAGGTGTCTAATTAATTAACCTGATCTAGATCATATCTAACACTGCGGCATTTTTGTTATTGGTTTTAGTAGTGGATATGATATATTATATCTAGATGCTCGCTAGGGATGTCGCAGCTGACTGGTTTATTACTAATCCAAATTTTCTTATACTTAAAAGGAGTGATTGCCGATTATTTAATACTAGGGGATAAAATAAATATATACAGCAGAAGCGACAAGGCGTTTAATTAACTAACTCAATCTAGATTATATCTAATAATATGATATTTTTGCTATTAGTATTGACAGTGGACATGATATATTGCATCTAAATATTGGCTAGGGCTGTTAGGGTTACCTAAGGTGGTAAAAGTCCGCAGGCGTAGTAGTGACAGTTTTAGGAATATAATAAGAAGCTTAAAGGATAGCTTAAAGGGTTAAAAAGGTAAAGAATGCCGCAGTTAGAATCTAAGTAAGTCCTTAAAGTAATATTAGGCAAAAGCACATAATAAAAAATAGTAGGGAGTAAAACCTAATGTGATGATATCATGTTAAGTTAAAAATACTCTAGTTAAACAGCTTATAAATTACCTAAAGAGGGGAAGATGAGGGGGCAGTATAGTGGATATAGCGGCTAAGATAAAATAAAGGAAGGCAGAAGAAAAGGAGAGGAAAGTGAAAAGTAGAACATAAAGATGCATCGTTATTTTAAGGTAGGCAGCTTAAGTTTATAGAGTAGACATTAAGATTAAGACATGTAAGACGCGCTTTCCCCTAATAGGAACACTATACTATATTAAGTAATTCACCGTCCCCTCAGAGTACGGAGTACCTAATACTTACGCTGTACTCGCTAATGCGAGTTCTTGAGATGTCTGCTAATCCCTTTATATGATACTCTGTAGTACTTTGTGTACTAAGAACCTAGGTGATTATAATTACACCTTAGTATACTACATACTACATAGTATTTATGTATTAGTTACTATCATTAATACCTCATAACTATCTTTTATTTACATAAAACCTGTGCTACTTGGTTCTATTAGGTACGTACTAAGCAACTAGTTCTATACCTAGGTACTAAGTGCCAGGTACAAGCTGGGTACCTCTGGTTAGGTAGGCACTACTAGGTACTAGTGGTACCCTGAAGGTTCCAGTTGACCCCTATTGCAGCCCACCAGCGGCCACCAATCACCAGCGCCAGGTGCCTGGCCCACTCCTCCAGTCCCTGAGCCCTATCCCCAAAATGGAAGCACACGGTCTTGGTCCCTGGCCGCAACGCAGCCCGCCATTGGCCAGCGCCTGGAATTAAGATTGCAGCCTGCAGTAGTCTCGTATCTATACCATACCTCTAGCCGCTTCGGTCCAGCCTTTCAGTTCAGCCCCTCTTGGGGGTTTCCCTCTCCTCTTTTTCGCTGAGGCTCCCTCCCCCGGGATTGTCTGTCTATATCCCTGCCATCTAAAAGGGCTCGTCGGTCCCACCCCCTTCTTCCACTCCTATTGACCACCGCTTCACTCTTTCAGCGGGCACTCATTCCTACAGTCAGTCCGAAGGGACGAGGTAAAAGAGAAACAAAACAGTTGAAAAAGAAAGAAAGAAAGAAAGAAGAAAGTCATGAAGGGCACCATCTTCGCGGTTGCCTCCGCTCTCATGGGCTCTGCCCTCGCCGACGGCCATATGCGTCGTCATGGACATGATGTCTTCCACCAGCGTCGGGATCTCACTGACGACGAGACCTGTGATTGTACCACCAAGGTCATCACCTACTGGGGAGAGCCTACTTGTGAGTGTTCTTTTTAGCAGTTATGTGAAGCCTCTTAGTAATGAAAAACAGTGGTCCCTATTGCGAATACCGTCACCTCCCAGACGACTACGACCATCCATTCCACCAGTTACACCACTGTGACTGTCGTCGTCACCCCGTCTAGCACGCCCGCGGGTGTGGGTGCCGTTGGCATCTCCAGCTCGAGTGCCCCCGCCGCCGTGCTGCCCACCGGCTCCGTGGTGACCTTCTCCAGCACCGGTGTCTACACCATTCCCGCCTCCACCGTGACCGTCACCTCCGAGACCACCGTCGCGGCTCTGACCACCGCTGCCGTGACCAGTGGCACCAACACCGTCGGCGGTGTCACCACCGTCGTGGAGACCGAAACCGTCATCACCTGCCCCTACGCCACCACCACCTCAACCGGCACCACCGTCACCGAGATCCTGGCCTACACCACCTACACCTGCCCCGTCGCTGGCACCTACACCATTGCCCCGGTCACCACCTACGTTGAGACTGAGACTCAGGTCGTCATCCCCACCCCGGCCACCATCGCCCCGGGCACCTACACCCAGCCGGAGCAGACCGTCACCGTGCCCGTGACGGACTACATCTACTACTGCCCCTTCGCCACTTCCTCCTCCTCTTCCTCCTCCGCTTCCTCCACTTCCAGCACCGTCGCTCCCGCCGTCGCCACCACCACCACCTCTGCCGCCTCGGTCCCCGCCGTCACCGATGTGGCCGTCTCCGTGGCCTCTACCGTCGTCGCCGCCACCACCAGCACCAGCAGCAGCGTCTCCTCTAGCTCTTCTTCCGCTGCCGTGGCGTCCAGCACCGCCAGCACCGGCACCAGCGATGACACCGGTACCAGCGCCTACGGTATGACCTATGACCCCTACACGGATGCCGGTGACTGCAAGACGCAGGATTCGATCACCTCGGACATTGCTGCCATCGCCAAGAAGGGCTTCAGCCACGTGCGCATCTACTCGCCCGACTGCAGCGGCCTGGACTACATCGGTTCGGCCTGCAAGACCTACGGACTGACCCTCATCCTGGGCGTGTACTTTGAGAGCAGCGACACCACCTCGGCCCAGGAGCAGGTCGACGAGATCATCTCGTGGGCCCAGTGGGGCCTGGTCGACCTGATCGTGGTCGGTAATGAGGCCGTCATGGACGGCTACCTGACCGCCTCGGAGCTGGCCTCGTTCATCAGCTCGGCCAAGTCCTCCTTCACCAGCGCCGGCTACACCGGCCAGGTCACCACCTCGGAACCCGTGGACATCTGGCAGGAGGATGGAACGACGCTGTGCAGCGTCGTCGACGTCGTCGGTGCCAACGTGCACCCCTTCTTCAACGCCGACACCACCGCCGAGCAGGCCGGCTCCTTCGTCGCCAGCGAGATGGCCATCCTCGACGACATCTGCTCCGGTCTGAGCGTCTTCAACCTGGAGACCGGTTGGCCCACGCAGGGTGACTCCAACGGTGACGCCGTCCCCGGCTACGCCGAGCAGATCACCGCCATCGAGGGCATCGTCACCGCCGCAGGTGACAAGTCCGTCTTCCTCTCCTACGCCAACGATCTGTGGAAGAGCCCCGGCGAGTTCGACGTCGAGCAGTACTGGGGGTGCATTGACGTCTTCTAAACGACCCGCATGTATAGGAAGTTTTTTTTTTTTCCCCCTCTTTTCTTCTCATTTCAAATTCTTCTTTTTTTTGAAACCCCAGGATTGAAGTTTCCTCCCACCGTGATATTTTCCATTCGATATTCAAATATTTCATTCTCTATATTCTATAAAGTCCTTATTTCTTGAGTAGATCTCTCGTACCTACAAGATACTAGGGAACTATGTAATTAGGTATGGATAATATCTATTGTCAGCCATATTCTGCAGCTATCAAAATACATCCTAAACTCTATACTGTCTATAATATATCTTGTATTCTTCTACCTACGTCAGACTTCAACGTCCTCTAAAATCTTGACAGAGTATGAAAAGAGCACGCAGAACTACTCTTGAGTGTTAGGCATTGAGGTCCTAGTCACTAGAGTTCTGGCAAGTGTTCTATATATACCCTTATGCATGACTGTTATAGTTAATCCACTTGAATCAAGTTCTTGATCCCCTCCCCCCTCCTCGTATTCTCCCAGGCCTCTGTTGTCTGCTCAAAGGGAAACACCCTGCTAATCAATTTCTTGACTGGAACCTTGCCCGCCCTAGCCAGCTGCAGGGCAAGTTGGAAATCACCCGGTCCATAGCGAAAACAGCCCCGGACATGGATCTCACCGATCGAGACGGCCGCGATGGGGAACTCGACGGTTTTACGTCCGAGGCCCGTTTGAATGAATCCCCCGCGTGGGCGCAGGGCAAGGATTCCCATCTGGATACAGGGTTGAGCACCCGTTGCCTCGATGGTGACATCGTAGCCAGCAGCAGAGCCAGCAGAAGCATCGAGCAAACGAACCAACTGGTCGACGTTTTGCTCGATATCCTCGCCCGGAACAAAAGTGTCGATTCGTGCACCGCTTCCACCGAGAAAGTCCCTCGCAAAGACCAGCTTCTTCTCATTCACATCCACGAGGACGACATGTGAAGCCCCAAACTCTCTAGCCACCGCTGCACAGAAGATTCCCACCGACCCTGCTCCGAGAACCAGCACGCGATGACCTGGTCGGACGTCCACTTCCCGCACGGAATGGACGGCAACCGCCAACGGTTCCATCAACACTCCTTCTTGAAGACTTAGTTTAGATGAAGAGGAAGAGGAAATATGCTGCTCCTCCCCATCATCGTCTAACTTGTAGACAAAGTCGGCTGGGATCTTAAAATACCGCGCCAACGTCCCATCACACATGGGCTGCTTCGCCGCCGCAAACATCATCTTCCGACAGAGATTGTAGCGGCCATCTTTGCAGAACAAGCACCGTCGACACGGATACCCTGGTTCGATGGCCACGGCGTCTCCCTTTCGTACGGAGGTGACGCCTTTCCCGACCTCGTGGACTATTCCTGACGCTTCGTGGCCCATTACCAATGGTGAAGAGATGGAGGAGGCTGCATTGATGCCTCCGTGGACCCAGAAGTGGACCTATCTATCATTAGCATACAGGTACATATCTAAATTATCTAGATATATAAGATAAGAGAGAGGTACATCGCTCCCGCAGACACCAGTATATGCAATCCGAACAATCACGTCGTCGTCGCGCTCGATCCGGGGAAGAGGGCGGTCTTCTATGCTTGCTTTTCCGGGGCCGTGGAGCACAACAGAAGGATTCTGCATTTTGTGCAGACAGTGATGGTCAACAATATGAACAATAGCAGGAGAGAGGAGAGAGTATAGAGTATTGAGGAATATTGTAATTTAGTAAAGAGGGGAAATCAGGTGATTTCCCCTCACTAGTCACTAGTATATAGCAGAACGAATTAAATTATTATATAAGTATTATAAAAAGATTCAATATAAAAAGAAAATATACAGACTACAGCAGTAACACCAATCCAGCCAGGAAAACAACCCCCCCTACTTGCGGCCGACTCGCGGCCCCCGTGTAGACAGGGCTTGCCGGCGAGACAACGACAGACGAACTGTTGACGACCGGCCAGGTGGAAGACGGCCACATCGACATCATCGGAGTAGGCGTTGGCGTTGGCGTCGGCGTCGGCGTAGGCGTAGGCATAGGCGTAGTAGTCCAAGGGGTTGTGGCAGCAGGAGTGGTGGACTCGGTAGTAGTCACATCCGCGATAGCAGTAGTAGTAGTAGTAGAGGTACCAGTGAGAGGGATCTCGGTGGTCTCGGTGGTCTCGGTATCAGTATCGGTGCTGGTAGGAATGCTTATAGGCACAGTAGAGACAGAGCTGAGCGTGATTCCGAACTCTTGCGCGCAGGTTTGCGGATCAAGGCCCTACCCAGTTAGTATAGAAATCAAAGTAAAAGTATAGCATGGATAACATACGTCAGGACAGCAGTATCCGTCCGTCAAACAGAATGAACCACCAGGACAAGCCCCTAAACAGTTAGCAAGACTAAACATATTGAAGAAGAAGAAGAAGAAGAAGAAGGAAAGATCGTACAAGTCCCGGTCGGGCAGCAAGTATCGCCTTGCAAAGGATCATAGCAGGTGTTGCTCGTGCCGCACATGGGCCAGTCGGCCGGACAGCCGGGCGTGGTGTCGGGGATGAAGGCGCTGCCGATATCCTGCCGCTTGCTGAGGCTGTCCGCAAAGGCGTGGCTAGTGCTGGCGAGCACGAGGGGTGCAAGAGCGAGCAAGAACATGGTAGATGTAGAAGTATATTATAACTGTTAAGTGTAGGAGTAGAGGAGAGTAGGAGCGTAGAAGAGACAGAAGCTGATGTGGGAGCTGATGGTTTGGATCAGTGGTTGATGCGATGCCATGGACGCATTTATATCACCTCCCAGCCTCTCATTCAGCTCATAGAGGTCATCGAGGGTTATCCCGTTGTCCATAGGGTTGTCCATAGGGTTGATAGGGTTAATAGGGTTGACAGGGTTGATATGATTGATAGGGTTATTGGAGTGATGGGTTATAGGAGTGATGGGTTATAGGAGTGATGGGACTGTCTCCCTATCGACAGGATCATCAACAGGACATCTGAACATCACAGTATCATAGGAGTAGTATGAGCTCCTCTATCAAAGTGGCTGGATAGCGGATACTCCTTGCGCCTTCACAGGGCGCTCAACCCCTGCGAGGGGTGGTCTTTATAGGGTCCGCGGCTCCCTTGAACAACCGCCTGAGACCGAAGACACAGCCGTGATGCCTTCATTGTTCCCGGTGGCTGGAGAGTAATTATTCATGGAGATTCATTCGATATGTCAAAAAAAAAACGCTGGATCCAAACTCCAGGCTAAACTGGGAAACAAAAATGAACAAGAAAAGAAAAAGAAGTAGAAAATGAGTGAGTGACCAATGCATCCAATCTTTTTTTTCCCCACCCAAGGGATTCTCCAAAAACTGTCAAAAATAACCAGGAAGAAGGGGAAAAGGGTTAAGCTCCTAATCCACGCAATCTCTCCCTGAGAGCGTCCACCTCTCCATCCCCGTCGGTTTCCTTCCGTCGGTTGTCGCCCTCCTTGAGCGACACAGAGATGTACTCGCCATCCCCGCCTGGCGCCCCGACTGTGACCCAGACGAACTTCCCCCCACTGCCTCCCGGGTGCGGCCGTTCCTGCGTTCCCTCCCAGTATAGCTCAGGGAAGACTGGCCTGTGGTTGTTGTCGTTTAGGGGGGCTGGCTGAGGCCTTCCGCCTAGTCGTCCGTGTTTGACCCAGCCCTTGAGCACCTCCCGAAGAAACTGGACCTTCTGCAGGAAGGAGTTGGCGTCGAGGATGTCCCGGATCCGCTCCTCCGTCGAGTTGGTCGGCGTCGTCTGCGCGATGCTGATGAAAGTGACGGCCTCCTCGGAGGCAATGGCACGCGTATCAAAGCCGGACGGGTGCATCTTCCCTTTCGTCGTCAGGTAACGGGCAGCAGATGGCGACAGATGGTAAAAGTCTATCCATGGCGACGAGCTACGCGTACGCCCGGGCGTGATCACTAGCTTGGTATGATCAGGGAAGTTGAACTTGTGTGCGTGTTAGCGTTGAAAAGAAAAAGAATAGAAGAAGATATAAGCATACCTGAAAAGCACCGTCGCCAAACCCCCAGATGCCAACGTTTCCCAGCCTCTGGTAGAACTTGATAAACTGCCCGTTTGGCTCCGCCGGGTTGCTCTTTTCCGGACCTTCATCGTCGTCGTGTCGTCCCAGCGAGCCGATCATGTACTTCCCAAATTGGTCTGCAAGCTTGACTCGCTTGATCTTCTCCGCGTCTGAACGTGCTCCCTCCGGGTTCGGGTTGGTACGGAATCTGGCCCCGTTGGCTGATACCTTGACCTCGAACATGGCTGGGGAGATGAAGGCGCGGCGGATTCCGCGACATTCGATATTCGCCTCATCGCAGTTTTCGTAGAATTCGATCGGCTTGCCGGTACGAGGGACGAGTTGATCGGCCTCAGAGTAGTAGTAGTCTCCTTCCTTTTCTCTTTCCTGACTGCGGACCTTGCGGCGGATATGCTTCTCTCCGTCTCGTACTACAATACAGCTGGCTGGCCGGCCGTTCTCGCCCTTGAACACACATCCAACGCTACCATCGTCAAGCACGTATCCGATGCCATATCGGTTGGTGTAGTCCACCCACTTAATCACATACCGATGGGGCGCCCGTCGCGAACCACTTCGGCGACGTGACGGAGTTACAGGGATCATGTTGGTCAGCATGAGGCGTAGATCGTTATTCACATCGTCAAGAGATGTCCCTGGCAGCATCTCGCATCGGTCATCGTCATGGAACAACGGGCTGGTGCAGATAGAGGACCGGGCCCGGCTTTCAGACGGCTTGACCTTGCTGTTGGTCCGAGTGAGCCCGGATTGCTGGGATGCAGCCGGAGCTTGCGGACGACGATGATCATCGGCTATCTCCTCTCTTTTCACGCTTCTCGGCTGTTCTTCGGTCTTTTCTTGAAGATCTTTCGACTTTTTCCTCGAGACGGTCCTCATAGAGGAGGCGCGAATCGCGCCCACAGGGTCCTTCATCGTGGTGGATGACGGCAGCCGATCTTGCGTGGAGAATTGGGATGAAGGCTGCTGCTCTTGGCTGGCAGCCTCAAGCATCCGGGATTGCGAGCGAGTCTTCCCAACCTTGAGCATGCTGGGAACACTGGACGACTTGGCCATCTGCGGCGCAGCATTCCTGTCCAGATCGCGCAGCGATCCAGAATAAGATGCAGCAACGCCGCGTCGCACACGGATTGGTCGTTCCGCAAAGCCGCCGAGAGCCTGGGTTGGTGGAACGGCAGTTTCCAGCGCTTTTTCTTGGATCTCCGTGAGAGGATTAACCGCAGAAACTTGGGGAGGATCGCAGAGGGCCGCAAGCTTTCGCACCGAGCTTCGGCCAGGCATGGCCTGCTGGCGGAGGGTGGCTGCGTGACTTTGAGACTCTTTGCGTCGCTGCTGCGCTGCAGCCAAAGCAACCTGTGTGCGGTTGAGGGACGCAGTATTGTTTCGTAATGAGATACTGCGCTTTCCGGACATGATGCTGCTGCTGCTTTCCGAGACCGAGTCGCTCCGAGCAATGGAGCTAGTTTCGGGCAAACTCCAGTCGTTTTCATTGTCGTGAGGATATGCGTAGACGTACTCCCGTGACAAAGGGATCACAGGCTGAAGCCCCCTCTCATCTTCGGCGAGACACTCGGCATACGCTGACTTGGAGCAGTTCTTGCCGGTAGCCTTCACAGCAGACCCGTCCGGTCTTCGCCCAACACCACAAGAGGCGTAGAAGGCATCTCGACATTGGCGATAGATCGATGCTGTCGACTGTGCAGCGTCTCCGATGGCACGGTATTTCTCATCGAACTCCAGACTGTACCCAGCAATCATGCGGTCCCCACGGGGCTCATCAGCCTTGAGCCATAATGGCTTGGAAAGGCGACATGAGGGCTCCAACTGCCGGGGTATGCAACTAGTATACATATTGAAGAAGGGGTGCTCGACAATATCATCGGGGTCGGGCCGTTCGTCTTCTGCCAAGTTGAGACACGAACTGACTAGCGATTTTGCTTCCTCGGGGATATGGTTCGGGCAGTCGGTATCTTTGGGCCAGACATATGTGAGGTTGCGGACTTTCTTATAGATCTCCTCTTGTGTTTTGGATTGGAAAGGTGGGTAGCCAGTAAGCATGGCAAAACTAGAGATATCTGTGAGCTGATGTTCTTCTCAAAAGGGGAGCTTCCCTTGGCTCACCATATAACACCGAGTGACCAGATATCCACCTTCTGGGTATGGCCGCCTTTACTCCGATCGAGCACCTCAGGGGCAATATAGTTTGGGGTACCACATAGCGTCTTCCTCCTCTTTTCATCTCTCTCCGATAAGATTATCGCTGCGAGTCCAAAATCACCGACTTTGATGTCCATGTGTTGGTCCAAGAACAGGTTTCCCATCTTCAGGTCTCGATGCGCGACATTTCGCTTGTGGAGATATTTAACCGCGCCACATAGCTGCACCATGAATCGCCGGACCTCTGGGAGACTAAGACATTTCCGCCTCCGGACCATCTCCATGACCGATCCATTCGGGCACAACTCGAGGACAACATATGTGTTCTGCTCAAAGGCAAAGGCACGGTGGAACTGGACGATATGGGGGTGTCGCATCTTCGAATGGATCTGCAGCTCGGTGCGAAACTTCTCCTCCATCTTCTTCTGCGGCATTTCGGACTTGACAACTTTCATCGCGAACACCCGAGCGTTGCGCGCCAGCGTCCCTTCATAACACACAGCAAACCCTCCCTTTCCGAGGAACGCGCCCGTAGCATATTTCTCCCCATCTTCGCCAGGCTCGGTGACTATTGACGGGGGTGGCGGCGCATGGTTCTTCGCCGAAGCAGATTTCTGTGCCGATGCCGTTGCTGCTGCCGCTGCGGCGGCAGCATTCTTGTCGAGGACCTTGCGCTCAATGGCCACCTTGGGCTTAATCATGAGATTCGTCGAGCGAGGAGACAGAGCAGCCTCCATGTTGATTATTATGGTTCCAAGCGTCGTATTCTTTAATTTTCTTCGCCCCTTCTTCCCTCACTTGGCATTAAAATTGCAGGTGTATTGCAGAATCGCAAGGGACTCGCCGACGAAACACAGGGATGGTCGTAACAATCGTAATATGACAGCGGTGGCCTCGTGAAAAAATACTATCTGGCCACCGAGATGAGCGGGGGGGGTATAATATGCGCTGGAATAATGCAACTGCAGTCACTCAGTATTGTGTTACGCAGGCCCATATACGAACCGAGGGGGGGGGGTCGCATGTCACTTCCCAACCCTCCCCCTCAGCCTCAGGTGGGAGAGGAGCGTTTCTGGAGCTCCAGAGAAGACAGGGAATTAACTCACCAAACGCAGAATTCAGTCAAACAAAAAACTCTGGAACCGAGAACCAAGCAATTACTTCATCTTTGTCTTTGTCAGCCTGGGTGAAAGACGTGGTGTGGGGGTAGGGAACCAGAAAAAGTGCAGGTGAGGAGAGAAGTCGAGCCAGTCGTCCACAGTAACCAAACGGACTTCTCAAAGCGGCAATCAATAAACAATGGGCAGACGAGCATTATTTTGGATGAGGTAAGCAGTGGGATAAGATGGGTTTGTGCAGTGCATAAGTAGTCCAGGTTGGGAATGGTATTTGTTACGTAAGCCGCAGACAGGCTGGATCAGGTACCGCCAGCTACGGCCTACGAGTGAGCTCAGTCAGCTCCATGCTGACTCCCATGACGCTTATCATGACAGCAACTGGGTATTTATAGTAATAACGATGTCTCTCACTCTAAAGCTCTCCTCTCTGGTGATTCGGACGCTGTCGAAACCGATTGCGGTACGCTCAGGGTGGATGGAAAGATCGGGTGTGCAAGGAGGGGAAAGTTGAAGCTGACCCTCGCCCAGAACCAGATCAAAGCTCAGGCTCGCGAACATGAGCGATTCCGTCGGATGTGCGTGTCCATCGCGCAGACAGTACACCGCATCGATATGCGCCTGCGACTCGGCAATCTGCGCAACAACACGGCTGCCGATAAGCAGTCGGCCGCCGAAGCGGCGCTGAAGAAGCTGAAGCCCACACGACCGACGGTGAAGACCGAGGCAGAGACCAAGGTGGAAGAGGTGGCTGCGGCGCGGGCCAAAGCAGCGGCGGAGGAGGCAGCAAAGCCGGCACCACCGCCGCATATTCGACCACTGTCCGAGTCCAAGGCGATCGAGTCTGGCGCCAACTTCATCAGCGAGACGTTTCTGTTTATGGTCGCGGGAGGCTTGATCGTGTTTGAGTCGTGGAGGTCGCGGCGGAAGGAGACAGAAAGGCGAGAGGATGTTTCTGGCCGTTTGGCAGAGCTGGAACAGTCGGAGAAGAATGCCCGGGAGGCGTTTGCGGCCGTGGAGAAGGAGCTCCTCCATCTCAAGGCTAAACTGGGGGAGACGCCGACCAAGAACGGCCATCGGATATTACCCCCTGAGGTCTGGGTGGAGGTGAAACTGGGGGAAGACGAGGCTGTGCCCGAGGAAGGGCTGTTTGCTCAGGTCTCGTCGTATATCACTTCGTGGTTCGAGAGTGGGAAACCGGCCGAAGAACTGCCGGCTAAACAGGCAGAACCGAGCCTAGAACCGCAGGTGGTCTCGCAGACCGTTGTGTCTCCTATCATCAAAGACTCCCATGAAAAAAGCACATAGTGAGAACTGAATTGCTCATAGAAGCCCTCTTGATGCAGATCATTCTAGCGTGACACTTCAAGATACCCCCCTCTCTCTTAATATGGCGTTCAACTAGTACTTCATATTCTTTTTTTTTCCATTTTTGTCAAATATTTTCTGTCGATTATATGCATATAGAACATTGGTGGGCGGCACGTGTTATACAATATTGACCTCTGTCCCCAACTTCGATATACCACCGCGACTTCGCCTCTCTGAATGCAAATCTCCTCCCTCGACACAGGGTATATAAAACGCTAGTTGAATCTACCACTATGCAAGGATCTTTCTGTACCTCTCTCAGGAGTCGTCAGGTCTGGAGGGTGCTGGAACCTGTCCTGAGTAGCTTTTCCCCAAAGCTCCAAGGTTCTCTTCTCTTCGTCCTTCCACTTTTATATAAAGATTCTAACATCCAGGTACTGTATAGAGTGCCACCTTGGAGGTCATGATTTCGACTTCCATGACTTGTCGGCCATGGTTCCTCTCCGAGTTGTCCTTCTCACCTCCTCATGCCTCGACGACTCCAACAAGCAGGAAACCCATGCACGACTACAGCGACTGTCTCATACAACAGACATACATCACGCTGCTGTTGCCCTTCTGCTCTCTGACGAGCCCTTTGCTCTTGCTAGTGAGCGATACAACCTGGAAGGGCTTATGGGATTACAGGTTTTGTGTGTCTTGCCTTGAGATGATCAAAAGTGAAGTGTTAACAATCACTAATCGAGACCACGCTCTGGGCTTCTAGAATGGCCGAGTCTCAAGGAGATCCCCTCCCCGTCATCCCGATTGCCGATGCATCGAGCTTTTTTTCCTCCGTCCACGACTACTATACCGGCCGGCTAGCCACCGTTCCCATCTCCAGCCCCTCTCCTTCGCGTTCCATTTCGCTCATGGCGCATGCCACATGCTCCGCGCCTCTCAACGAGCAAGATACACACATCCTGAGTGACCTGTTTCCGTCTCTGCCGGCGCTGAGCCAAGCAACTCGCTCCCGGGAGGGACGCGCAATCCTGGACGACTACTTTGGCAGCATCGGAGGCTCTATCTTGCAGTTCTGGGGTGGCAGTTTTCCTCATTAGATACTCCACTGCGACTCGTAATGCCCAAGCAATATCTAAACTCTAGACCACTCGGGCGAATCATTCTGCCTGACGGTCGCTGCCAGATGACGTCTTGTGTGCTATTCTTAACCTGCCACCGCCACAAACTGCCAGCCTAAGGCATCAACAGTCTGAGATTTCCACCCACCACCCAGCAAGGGGCCTCTGTATGCAAATAGACAAAAAATAAGAAATAGAAGCAATCTAGAAATCTAGAATTCCAGAAAGCTACTTTCGACCCCCCCAAAAGAATCCTCCCAAAGCCAAACAAAGCCACATTGTGGCGCAGCACGTGCCAGGTATCCTCCGCTAATCGCCCATCAGGTAATCCCTCAATTCCCCCCCCCCGGCCCTTCCAGCGGTCACGGCCTGTCTCTCCTCATTGCCATTTCACGCTGCGTGTCGTGGGCTCGCTGTTACAGCCACTCGCTCTCTGCATTCTCTAATCCGAACAGTGTCGAGCAGGCCTAAACCCCCGTCGTCGGAAGATAACACCGTACCACTGGTAGTGTCGCCTGTGGAGAGAGGCCTGGCGCAATTCCCCGTGTATAGAAGATGGTGAGTCTACTCGTGCTGAGAAATTGCTATGCTGTGATGGACACCACATTTGTCTAACCTGCATTCTCTCTCCTAGGGTCATTCACGACGTCCTGCGGGCGGGGAGAAGAAGAGTCGGTTTGGTCGCTCCAAGGCCACCGCGGATGTGGGCGACGGGCGAGGGGCGGGGGGTAAGCCCAACGTCAAGAAGGCCACCTTCGAGAGCGGCAAGAAGAAGGAGATTGGCGTCTCGGATCTAACGCTGTTGAGCAAGATCTCCAACGAGGCGATCAACGATAATTTGAAGCTCCGCTTCGAGCACGATGAGATCTACGTAAGGGAAACAACCCAAACCAAAGAGGGGGAAACCGCGGGGCTGACACATTCTCTCTCTCTATATACAGACATATATCGGGCATGTCTTGGTGTCGGTGAATCCGTTTCGAGACTGTAAGTAGTGTCGCGTGTTGTCCTTATCTACTCCCTCTCTTTTTTTTTCGGTTTTTGCTGAACACCCGATGCAGTGGGCATCTATACGGAACAGGTTCTCGACTCGTACCGGGGCAAGAACCGACTCGAAGTCCCCCCTCACGTCTTTGCCGTGGCCGAGTCGTCCTACTATAACATGAAGTCGTATAAGGAGAACCAATGTGTGATCATCTCCGGCGAGTCGGGCGCGGGCAAGACCGAAGCCGCCAAGCGCATCATGCAGTACATTGCCAGTGTCTCGGGGGGTTCCGACTCCTCGATCCAACAGACCAAGGAGATGGTGCTGGCGACCAACCCGCTGCTTGAGTCGTTTGGAAATGCAAAGACTCTGCGCAACAACAACTCGTCACGCTTCGGCAAGTATCTTGAGCTCGAGTTCAACGCCAACGGTGAACCCGTCGGCGCCAACATTACGAATTACCTGCTGGAGAAGTCGCGGGTGGTCGGCCAGATCACCAACGAGCGGAACTTCCATATCTTCTACCAGTTCACGAAAGGTGCCCCCAAGAAGTACCAAGGTATGTTTTTTTCTTCACTCATATGAAGAATCCTGAGATTGCGAGGTGTCGCTAAGTGAGAATTCAAGAAATGTTCGGCGTACAATCACCGCAGTCGTACATGTATACCAGTCGGTCGAAATGTTTCGACGTGCCCGGCATCGACGACGTGGCCGAGTTCAAGGACACCCTGGATGCGATGCGTATCATCGGGATGGCCGAGGGCGAGCAAGACAACGTCTTTCGGATGCTTGCCGCGATCCTGTGGCTGGGGAATGTCCAATTTGTCGAGGACGACTCGGGCAATGCGGCGATTGCGGATCAGTCGGTGGTGGACTTTGTGGCCTATCTTCTCGAGGTGGATTCGGCGCAAGTTAACAAGGCGATGACCATCCGCATCATGGAGACGGCGCGCGGAGGTCGTCGAGGATCTGTGTACGAAGTTCCGCTGAACACCGTCCAGGCCGTTGCAGTGCGCGACGCCCTGGCCAAGGCCATCTACTTCAACCTGTTTGACTGGATCGTGCAGCGTGTCAACGCCTCGCTGACCGCCAAGGGCTCCGTGACAAACTCGATCGGTATTCTGGATATCTACGGCTTCGAGATCTTTGAGAAAAATTCGTTCGAGCAGCTGTGTATCAACTACGTGAACGAGAAGCTGCAGCAGATCTTCATCCAGCTGACCCTCAAGGCCGAGCAGGAAGAGTACGCCCGCGAGCAGATCAAGTGGACGCCCATCACCTATTTTGACAACAAGGTGGTGTGCTCCTTGATTGAAGACAAGCGACCTCCCGGCGTCTTTGCTGCTCTGAACGACGCCTGCGCGACGGCTCATGCCGATTCTGGCGCGGCTGACCAAACCTTCGTGGGCCGACTCAACTTCCTCTCACAGAACCCAAACTTTGAGAACCGCCAGGGCCAGTTCATTGTCAAGCACTACGCTGGCGATGTCAGCTATGCGGTCGAGGGAATGACCGACAAGAACAAGGACCAACTGCTCAAGGACCTGCTGAACCTCGCCGGTTCAAGTGCCAACTCATTCGTCCACACACTGTTCCCCAACCAGGTCAATCAGGACGACAAGCGACGCCCGCCAACGGCTAGCGACAAGATCAAGTCGTCTGCCAACGACCTAGTAGCCACCCTGATGAAGGCGCAGCCGTCATACATCCGAACCATCAAACCCAACGACAACAAGGCCCCGCGCGAGTACACCCACGCCAACGTGCTGCACCAGATCAAGTACCTCGGTCTCCAGGAGAACGTCCGCATCCGTCGAGCCGGTTTTGCGTACCGTCAGACCTTTGACAAGTTTGTCGAGCGCTTCTATCTTCTCTCGCCCAAGACATCCTACGCCGGTGACTATACCTGGACGGGCGATGTCGAGTCGGGCGCCCGGCAGATCCTAAAGGATACCAGCATCCCCGCCGAAGAGTACCAGATGGGTATCACCAAGGTCTTCGTCAAGACACCGGAGACGCTCTTCGCGCTGGAGGCGATGCGCGACCGCTACTGGCACAACATGGCGATTCGGATCCAGCGGGCCTGGCGCAACTACCTACGGTACCGGACCGAGTGCGCCATCCGCATCCAACGCTTCTGGCGGCGGATGACGGGCGGGCTGGAGCTGATCAAGGTGCGCGACCAGGGCCACAAGGTGTTGCAGGGCCGCAAGGAACGCCGTCGGATGAGTCTGCTTGGCTCCCGGCGCTTCCTGGGCGACTACATCGGCGTGGGCAACAAGGGCGGGCCGGGCGAGATGGTCCGGAACGGGGCAGGCATCTCTGGATCAGATCCCGTCCTCTTCTCCTGCCGTGGCGAGGTTCTGGTCTCCAAGTTTGGCCGCTCGAGCAAGCCTGCTCCACGCATCCTGGTGCTCACGGGTCGGCACGTCTACATCGTGGCCCAAGGCATCGTCAACAATCAGCTGGTGATCTCGGCGGAACGCACCATCCCCTTGGGTGCCATCAAAACCGTCAGCACCTCCACCCTGAAGGACGACTGGTTCTCTCTCGTGGTGGGCAGTGCGCAGGAACCGGATCCCCTCATCAACTGCGTCTTCAAGACCGAGCTCTTCACGCATCTGACCAACGCCCTGCACGGCCAGCTGAACCTGAAGATTGCCGATAGGTATTTCATCCCCACATTATCTCAACTAGCCCCTTGAGTCATCAAGCTAACAAAAGTAGCATCGAATACAACAAAAAACCCGGCAAGCTTTCCATGGTCAAGGTCATCAAAGATCCCGCCGTACCCCGAGACGATATGTACAAGAGCGGTACCATCCACACTGGCCCCGGTGAACCTCCCAGCTCGGTATCCAAGCCTACTCCCCGGCCGAAACAGGTCGCCGCCCGACCCGTAACCACAGGCAAACTCCTTCGTCCGGGCGGTCCTGGGGGCGGACCATCGAAGCTAGCCGCCTCACGGCCAACCCCTGCTGCCCGCCCACTGCCACAGGCCGCTCCTCGGGCTGCTCCTGCGGCTGAAGAACCAAAGGTGATGGCCCGGCGCCCCGTGCCGCAGCCCGTGGCAGCTGTGGCAGAGATATCGACACACTCGCGCAACAGCTCCACCGCGTCCACGAGACCCCCGCCTCCTCCTCCGCCGCCTCCTGGGCCGCCCGCAGCACCGCCCGCAGCAAAGAAGCCTACGGCCAAAGTGCTCTATGATTTCAGTAGTGACCGTGCGAACGAACTGACGATCCGAGCGGGCGAGATTGTCCAGATCGTGTCCAAGGAAGGAAATGGTAAGATCATTTCCCCCATCATTTTCTAAAAAGCACAATATATACTGACAGATTAGGTTGGTGGCTCTGTATGAACACCACCACCTCGTCTCAAGGCTGGACGCCCGAGGCGTACCTGGAGGAGATTGTGGCGGCCGTGGCGAAACCGATGCCTCCCCCACCCCCCCCGGCTGGACCGCGTAGTGTGTCGACACATACGCCCGCGAGCAACGGGACCACCGCGGCGGCGGCGGCCAAAGCCAAAGCCGCACCACCGGCGCCGCCGGCGAAACGGCCGAACATGGCTTCACGCAAGGCCGGCGCGGCGGGCAGTCCAGCGCCCCGGGACAGCGCAGTGAGCATGAACTCGCACGATTCGAGCGGGGGCAGCGGGCGGGCGACGCCGAACAGCACATCGAACTTCAGCATGGCGTCCGGGTTGGCCAAGGCGCTGAAGGAGCGGCAGAATGCGATGCAGGGGAAGCAGGAGGAGGATGATGAGTGGTGATGGTGAGTACCTAGTAGACAGGTGTCGGGTTATCATACTGGATGACAGATTACATGTACAGCTGAGTCGGGGGTCATCAAAATATTCAACTCTTCCTTTCTTTTGGTTCCTCTATAGCTTATCTAGCTGAACCCATTCATACCTTGACGAGTTAAGTCACCAACCCTATGTACATTCATGTCATCTCAGGCTACATTCTTCAGTTTAGATATGAACAATGTTACACGGATAGTAGTATAAATTATTACTTATATTTCTTCACTATCTATGTTTCTTTCTTTTTTCTTCACTTCATCATGTTCCGTCTCGCTTTTCTCGCTCTGGCCACTCTGGCAGCTGCCCAGGGACCCAAGCTGGTAATCCTTTCACCTCTCCAGGGCTTGTAAATGCGGTTTACTAATGTGAACTATGGATAGGCCCTCTTCTTCACTGGCAAGGACTACGCAGGCGAATTCGCCTCCGCCGAGGTGGATGGGAACTGTACCAATCCCACCGACCTGGTTCCTACCTGGTATATCTCATGAATAAATCAATGCAAGACTTACTGACTGGTTTAGGAACGGAACCGTTGGCTCTGCGTATCTGTCTGGTGATGTGAAATGCAACGTGTGGGAGTAAGCAGACATCCAATTACCCTTCCAGACAACTGTGATCATATTAATGACTGACTCTTTAGTGCTACTGGATGTTCTGGCAACGCTGTCTCTATTGACAATTCTACCTCCGACTTGACCGAGGATTATCCCCTGGCGCAGTATGTGGCGAGTGTGAGCTGCGAGTAACGTTCGTTCCAGTATAGTCAATCAAATCAAGATTTACTTCTATTAATACTCCGTATTGCATTCTCCTGATAGCTGTAGCCACCTACGTATGTGGTAGGTGACTTTGGTCTAATATCGAAGCAAGGGATACATACCGTAAACAAACAACCCCAACCCCTCAGTTCTCACTTCTTCTCATTTATTGTCAGTATCATATCACCAGTATAATCAGTACACTCATTATACTCCTCCTCATCATGAAGTCTTTTCTTCTTGCGGTACTTGCCTCCCTCGCCCTCGCGCAGGATGGCAGCATGTCCCACCAGGCGCCTCAATCGGTATGAGAGACCGAACACAGCGTTACTGTCGAATACACTCTCCGTTCTAACATTGCCAGGCTCTCGTCTACGATCAATCCAACTACGCTGGGGATTTTGTCTCGGTGCCTCTGGATGGCAGCTGTGTGAATCTGAACTCTCTCTCGCCGGATCTGTATGCATCTCCTTGATCTTGATATACTCTGGCAGTACTTACTAACTGTTCAGGACTGGAAGGGTGAAGTCCATCTATTCGACTTATAGCGTCAACTGCGTTCTCTACGAGTACTTGGCCCGTCTATTTATGATCTTCACGAGCTAATCATTCTAGTTGTCTTAATTGCGGTGGTTATACCTTCACGGCCGACGAGGGGGGAGTCTCCAATATTCCCACAACCCATATTGCGCGCAGTCTGAAGTGCGTGGAGGTGTCTCAGGGGTCTTAGTTGGTTACTGGCGATGGTTATATAGATCAGACATATCATAATATCATTGTTATTTTGGGGATTGCTCATTATATCAGCCTCAATGTTGCTTGACGCCAGGATCAGGCACAGGATCAATTCATGTAAGAATCACCAGATTGGTGAAATCAATGCGTTCGGTAGAAAACTAGTGTTTGGAAAAATCAGTAGGTACAGGCAATATGCAGAGGCTTCGCTCGGGGGTGGATGTTACGTTACTTGACGTCTCTTTTCATCCTCTTTAGCCAAGTCCCCAGGTCAAAGGTGCCGTCACTCAAGTCTCTGACATTGCCGACAAATCTAAAGACATGCCCAAAGTCATCGACGGGCTCGTTCTTGTCGGTGTAGTTGATGCGACACGGGTCGGACAGAGTACCGTAGAAGAAGTAAGGACCGGTGGGCGCAGCGAATGGATCTGTACGAGGCGGTGGTCTTTCAGGTTGGAAGAAATAGCCAGGAGGAGCAGACCTCAGCTTCATGACGAACGGGGAGAGCTTC